TCTGTAAAATGTAAATGATGATACTTATACTATCTATCTCATAAGGTAAATCAATATACTTTTCTATGCATTTTGAAAAAAACATGTTGACAGCTGACGCAAGCATTCACAGTTCTAATGAAGCAATCTTGCTTATGATTTCATTTAGAGACTGCACTAAACTATAAAACTTTAAAAAAAAATATGCTTGTCTATTTGTCTCTGGCAAGAAAAATGCCCTGATAGGAATTGAAATGGAAGAGAGATTCCTTAAATATAGATGATGGTGGAGAGGCAGTGAGGTACAGATGAAAAAGCATGAACATTGAGCAAATGTATGGTGGGCTGCCATGCAGCAAGAGTTGAGCATCAGAGGACAATCAAAAGGCTGCAGTGCTACAGAAGAAACGGCAGGCGCAGCTGGATGGTACAGTGGATGGAGCACCGGCCCTGAAGTCAGGAGGACCTGAGTTCAAATGCGGCCTCAGACCAAACACTTGACACTTACTAGCTGTGTGCCCCTGGGCAGGTCACTTAACCCTAATTGCCTTAAGGGGGGGGGCAGCTAGGTGGCACAGTGGATAGAGCACCAGCCCTGAAGTCAGGGGGACCTGAGTTCAAATCCAGCCTCAGACCAAACACTTGACACTTACTAGCTGTGTGACCCTGGGCAAGTCACTTAACCCCAATTGCCTAAAAGCAAAAAAAAAAAAAGAAAGAAAGGAAGGAAGGAAGGAAGGAAGGAAGGAAGGAAGGAAGGAAGGAAGGAAGGAAGGAAGGAAGGAAGGAAGGAAGGAAGGAAGGAAGGAAGGAAGGAAGGAAGGAAAAAGCAAAAATATAAAAAGAAAAAAGAAAAAAAGAAAAAGAAATGGCAAAAAAAATGAGTGAAGGTCTTCAGTACCCTGGACAGCTCATGCCCAAGTATAATGTGCTATGAGAAAGTATCTGTAGATCGCAGCCTTTACTGTCGGAAGCAGTACCCATTTAGATGCAATCACAAATATATTGTAATAATGACAGCATTGTCTTCACATTTCACACCCAAAGTCTAGCAGAATGACCCATATAAATGGGTAATGAGACAATGTGATGTAATTCAAAAAGCAGTGGGCTTTGAGTCAGAAGAACTGGATTCAAGTCCCAGATCTACCATTTCCTTGCTGTGATAGATAAATTATTTAACTTTCTCAAAAATTGCCTCATTTTTTAATTTTGGTTTATTTTTCAAACAGAAGGATATTCAATAGGGCAACAATTGGGGCAGTGTTGGAATTGCCAGGTGAAATTTGAAATATACTTCTTTCCCACTACTTCCTTTTCCCCACCTCTCCCCCACCAAAAAAAAACCCTAAAATGCATGGAGTGGGAGAAAGACAAAGTATATGTAAGAGAAATTCATTTTCATATGCAAAAATTATTTTTATTAACAAAATCTGTTTTCTCTCTCTTTTGCCTCCTCCTTTCATTGAAAAACAAAAACAAAATTCTTGTAACAAATATGCAGTCAAACAAAACAAATTCCCAAATTGGCTATGTCCAAAAAAATACATCTCAATCTACTCCCTGAGTATTACTTGTTTGGCAGAAAGTGGGTAGCAAGTTTCATCATAAGTTTGATGGAGAAATGGTTAGTTACTGTGTTCATCACAGTTCTTAAGTCTTCTGAAGTTGTTTGGGAATTTCCTGATTCTATTCAAGATTCAGCTCAAACACTACCTTCTGCAGAAAACTTTTTCTATTCATTCAACATGTTAATGCCCTCTCCAGTAAGGAATCTTTCATTTAATCCTTATGTATTTTTATGTATACACACACGCATATACACTTATGCTGTTACTGCATTAGAATGTAAACTTTTTGAAGATATTAATTGTCTTTTTGTCTTGCATCTTTGAAGTTTAGCATGGTATCTCATACATATTGAGCACTTCACAGATGGTGATTAATTGATTAATTGATGGAATTATTGAGATCAATTTTTTGAAGAATTTTAGAACGAATTAGGGATTTTTGAAATTTAAAAAGAGAAATGGAGGTCACAAAGAGCTACCATAGCTTCATTAAAGATAAATAACATCAGACTATTTTCATTTCCTTTTACTAATAGTAGTAGTATAGCTAGATTTGAGCAAAACATTTTCAGTCTCTCTTGCTAGTCTTGTAGATGAAATGGAAAGAGAGGGATTGGGGTAATAGTTTCCAAACTGAACCACAGATCCCTGTGGGGAGTTGTTTTTTTTTCCAATGAAGTCCATGAATTCATAAAAGTGTGTTGCTGAAGTGAGGATAGATTTTGTTACATATTTTGTCAAAGAAAAGAAACTAATAGTACAATGCTCACAAGTGATAAATTAGAGAGGAGTTGTAGACTTACTGATCTGAAATCCCAGATCCCAACACACGTGAAAATATGCTAATAAAATATTATAAATGCTAGGTATATTGAAAGAGATATATACACATGATTGGGTTCTATTTTTATTATTAAGATTAGTACTGTACTTCAGGGAAACACTGTGATATGGCAGAAAGCACCCAGGATTTAGAGTCTGAATTTGTACCCAAGTCTTTCTAATTCTACCAATTACTCTGTGACAATGGGCAAATCAATTCTCAAATTGAGCTTCAATGTCATCATTTGTAAAATTGAGAGAATAATACTTATGCATCCTGCCTTACAGGGGCACTATAAAGAACATGCTTGTAAACAATTCTTTGAACTATAAAAAAGTGAGTTATTTATAGGAATCGGTTAATAATTCAATAAATATTAAAATCTCACTGTGTGATGACCACAGTAAAAACCTGTGTGGTTTAGTTGGATTACACAGCATTCTCAAGTTCTGGTCTGCTCCTGATCTTGACTTGTAGAGAGTTTGGGGGAGCAGTGTGAGAGAGTAAAAGGAAATCACCAGGATCTATCTTGAGAGGCTCCTGGTATGAATCATCAGATCTTCCAAAGATCTAGTCAGTGTTCATAAAGGGATGATTGGGGCAGGAGCTGATAGAGATGTTCTAAGCATGAACTATGAGCTAAACTGAATCAGCTGATCAAAGTTAATCCTAAAGGCAGGGGCAATGACTGGCCCCCCTTCCTTTCTTCCTGTCTAGGGAGAAGTTAGATGTTCGTGTGTATTATTCATGTTCTCTTACTACCTATTTCCATTTGACTCTTCTAGAATGATATGGAAGCTTTTCTCTTTTCACAAATGTTTAATTTCTATTTTGGTTGTCAAACTATGATAAATTTACTGGTCACCAAATAGCTCAGACTATTTAAGATAGTATACACAGATAGTGATAAGGAAAATAAGAGGAATTTCTTCTTTTAGAGATGAGTAACATACATACCAGCCCAGTATTACTGGGCTGAGGACTGGAGCCCCAAAGGGAAAGGGAAGGAGGAAATATTATTGATTACAAGAACTTCAAAAGTACCCGAAACCACGAAGCCTATTTTTATTTCATTATCCTCTTCCCCCGCCCCCCCCAAAAAAGACAGAGCCAGCAGCACCATAATATAGAGAAAAGTCACTGCAGATTCAACGTGAGAGGCATGATTTAACAGACATTCTTGATCTTTCTCTTTATTGTTTAATTCTGAACTAACCAACATGAAATAAGGTGAACATCTCCATGTGCAAAGAACAGAAAAAACTGAATTGTACATGAAGCTGTGAATATTTACTATGTACAGTTTGCTTTACAAGAAACATGTTTTAAAAGCTGTCTTGCTTTTCTATTTCTGACTTTCATTCTCTTCTCTTCTATACAATTTTAAATGTTCCAGTGACTCTCTTTTCTTATTTTTTTAAAAAATATTTCATTTTGGTGGCACCATAGTCACCTAACTTCTTCACCTCTCTTCCCTCTCAAAAAAAATCAAAGGAAAGAAAAATAAAATGCTTATATTGGGTATGTATGTTCAAAATTTTAATCCTTATACTTGCCCTTTCCAAAAATGTATATCTCATTATATGACCTGAGCTCATCATTTCTTTGCCTGCTTGACTTTTCAAAAAGCACAGATGGGGAGATGAAATGAAGATAACATGCAAACGCAGTAGCCTAGGTGGATGGCATACAGCACACTTGTTACCATAATAATGCTACCATAGCAAACTAGCAGTTCTCCTAGTTCAAACTCACTGGTTCTGAACTCACCCCTAATGGTTAGAGTAGTATCTTCAAATATGAATTACAGCTCAACAGAATAAAGTGGGCAGCTCTTGGGTTGATTGTTCCATAAACCATCCACACTCTCACATGTAGGACTAAGTAAGAGATTCTCATAATCCTGGACAGGTGAATATTGAATCTAATAATCTCAGCTTCATTAGGAGCAGCAAATACTGATCTTTTTAGCTAAAGTTCAAATTTTTATATCAGTAAGCTTTGTACCTTCAAAGTCTACAATTCTCTAATTCCCTGATTCTCCCAAAGGGCAAAATTAGGAGAAAGGGGAAAAGCTTTGAAGAAAAAGATTGAGATTTGACATATGGGAAGACTTCCTAGTAATTAGTACCATCTCACACCAGAGTAGTGAGGGTTCCCACCAAGGCAGGTCTTCAAACATAGAGTGATAGATGATTCATCAGGACTGTGGTAGAGGGACTCCTTTTTGTAGTTACAATTTGTACTGGATAACCACTGAGGTTCCTTCCAACTCTTTTAATCAAACATCCAGTTGCAATTCAATGATTCTAGAGGTGGTTTTGTTCATCCTCCCATCCACAGCAGGACACTCTTCTACAATGCCATGAAAAGTCATACAGCTTCTGTTTGACTGCTTCCCATAAGAGGATTCACAGTTAGCCAGCTAAGTCCTCCCCTAAATGACAATTTGATTGTCTACAATTAGCACAATTGGTCAGTGTAAAATAGTTTCCATAGTGTTGTTAAGTGATATTTTCTAAGGTGGATAGCCAATGAAGGATCATAGTTTGCTCCAAGGATAGGAGACATTCCCCTTCATCAAGTCACCACCCTGGTGCCAGAGAAGAAGTGTTGCACAGTGGATAAGGAGCTGACCTTGAAGCCAGGGAGAGATGGATTTAAGGTCTGCCACTGACACATACCAGCTATGTAACTCTGAGGCAAGTCACCTAACCTCTCAGCATTTTTATGAAACCTTATAAGACTTCAAGTTTCAGAAATGGTACCAACTTGTATTCACAATGAAAGTTTCCTTCAAGTTCTTTATAAAAAACTCACAAGTCTAGTCCCCATGCCCATACTGGTTTTAAAACCTCTAATAATTAAGCCCTCATACATGGTTTCTCCAATTTGAGCCTTGACACAGTGCATCAACAGTTCCCTAGCACACCTAACACTTGCTCTAGAATCTGCTTGGTCCTCAGGCCATAGATAATTGGGTTCAAGGTGGGTGGAATGACCAAATAAAAATCAGCAAGTAGCACCTGCATGTGCAGAGGTACTACACCCTGCCCAAACCACTCCACATAGTGGGATACCATACCAGGAAGATAGTAAAGCACCATGACTCCTACATGGGAGCCACATGTGCTGAGAGCCTTAAGTCGGGCATCCCTGGAAGAAAGTCTAAACACTGCCTGCAGAATCAAGCTATAGGAGGTGGCAATAAAGGACACATCAGAACCTACAATGATAGAGGAACCAATCAGGCTATAAAGGCTGCTGGGCATATAATCAGCACATGCCAATTTGGCCACAGCCATATGCTCACAGTAGGAATGGGGGACCATGTGGGAGCCATAGAATGGCAGCTGAATCATCATCCAGCTTAGTGGAGTCATGAACAGAATAGCTCTCATTATGATAGCCAGACTGATCCCCTGCATCATCTTGGGTGTGAGGATGGTTTGATAGTGCAAGGGTTTGCATATGGCCACATAGCGATCAAAAGCCATGCCTAGCAACAGGCCTGTCTCAGCAGCTGTGGCTGCATGGACCACGTACATCTGAGCAAAGCAGGCGGTGAATGTGATGGCACCATCACCTGACCAGAAGATGCTCAACATCTTGGGAGCTACAGAGGTTGCCATGATGATGTCAACAACTGCCAGAATGCAAAGGAAGTAGTACATGGGCTCGTGCAGAGTAGAGTCGACCCAGATCACAGTCAGAATCAGAGTGTTCCCTACAAGGGCCACAGCATACATAAAACTCAATGGAGCTGCCAGCCAGAGGTGTGCCCCCTCCAGTCCTGGGATGCCCACAAGGATGAAAGAATTATCTGATGTCTGGTTGCAAGGTGATGCCAGCATGACAAGGGAGGCTTCTTTCCTGTGGATAAAAGCACAAAGCTCTTAAAAGGGCAAAGAGCCCAGCTTAGGCTCCTATCTCTCGCAGTGCCACCTCCTACTTGATGACAATTATTATTTGGCCTCTATTTTCTCTGCCAACTAGAAGATACTTGGTAAGGGAGAACAAAAACGACTAATTGGCAGCAGATGTCCATGAAAAGTAAAGAGATCAAAGTGAATTAGGTGCCATTTTGTTCATTTCAGGTCATGTGACCAATCTGAATGACATCCTTAAGGACTGAAAGAAAGGGTGGACATGACCTCTGGGCCACTGTTGGTGATTTGGAAGATTGCATAGCACAGGAGACATGATTCAAGAGTGAAGAAGGGCAAATATTGTCTCAAGTTTCAAGAAAGGAGCAAGAATGAAATCTGAAAACTATTGACCTGTGAGCTTGATTTCAATTCCTAAAAAAATTCTAGTTTATATTGTGTAAAAAGGTGGTCAGTGAACAGCTAGAAATCAGCAGTTCTCAAACTGTGGTCCATGGACCTCTGGGAGTCCCTGAGATCCCCTGAATGGGTCTGCAAGGTCAAAATCATTTTCATAATAATACTAAAATGTTATTCATTTGTTAAAATATCTTTTCTTTTTCACTACATATGTGTATGGTACCAAATTTTCTTCATGTACTTTAACAGCATATCATGAGATATTGAATTTTAGAATGAGGTAAGAGAATCCAGTTGTCTTCTACTAAGCCAGACATGAGAGATTTGCCAAAATATGTAAAACTATGCTATTCATCTTACTATTTTTGTTTGCTTTGGAAAACATAATTATTTGTATTAAAATATTAACATACAATGGGCTTATAATTGTTTTAACTCAATTGATATTTTGTTTGTTTGTTTTGGCTAGGCACTGGAGTTAAGTGACTTGCCCAGGGTCACACAGCTAGTGTTATGTGTCTGAGGCCAGATTTGAACTAAGGTTCTCCTGAATCCAGGGCTGGTGCTCTATCCACTGTGCCACCTAGCTTCCCCAACTTAACTGATATTTTAAACTTAATCAGCTTAATTTCTAATATGATAAATATGAACTTAATAAACATAGGTTCTTTGGGGTGCGGGATAAACTTTAAGAATGTAATGGGGTCCTGACAGCAAAAAATTGTAAGAAGTAGTCACGAATGACAAGTTTGAAGGAGGTCTCCAGTGGAGGACCAGGAGTCTTGTTTCTCCCTTGCTGATAAACATTTTTATCACTGACTTAGGTAAAAGCATAGATGACATCCCTAATACATTTCTTATATTGTTGTTAGTAATATTTTTCAGCTCTTTTTTTTTCATTTGCAGGGTCAGTATCCAAGCATGTCATGACAGGCAAGAACATTGTTGGAACTCTAGTTAGATGGAATTTAATAGGGATAAATTTCAAGTCTTACATTTAGATTTAAAAAAAAAACAAGGACAACACTGGGTTTCACAAATACTGTGTCCCAAAAGTCTTAGTGCAGTGATAAGCTAAACAATGCAGTAAGACTTTTAGGACATCCTGTACAAATAGGGGAGAGAAGCATAATTAGACAACAACTTCTCTGAAAACAAGTCTGCACATTAATGAACTTCAAACTAATGTGAGTCAAAAGCATGACAATGTCTGAAAAAGCTAATGTGCCCTTGGGCTACATTATAAGAGATGAGAATTCCAGGAATGAGGTGGTTGATAATTCTGCTGTTATTTTCCCCTGGTCTGAGCCTATAGGCATCATGTTAGAGAGAGGGCCCTGCAGACAAGGCTAGAGGGAAAGACAGGCATAGTCCTTGATCAAAATCACCTTCTTTTTTAAACCTCAGGTTTAATGAAAACCTGCAAAGAGATCAACCTCAGTTGAGAATCTGCCTGAGAGGGTCCCTGGCGAGCCTGTCTAGGAGCCAGAGACCCTGAGTGGGCAAGGAAGAAGCCTCCAGTCAGTTGAGGACAGTCTGAGTTCTGGAAGTAGGAACAATCCCTAAAACCAGTGTGTTACGGAGCACAAACCCTGGCAGTGTGGAGGAGAGCACCCTGTCATTCTGCCTGAGGGCCAGAGCCCCTGGACAGGAGGAGGGAAGATAGTCTAGATCAGATTCTCTGAAACCTTGAGACTCTGGGTCAGGTACTCAGTCATCCTGCTTGAGAGCCTGAGCTTCTGAACTCCAGAGCAGAGAAAACTGATTTTGTCCCATACCTTCGAAGAGGCACATACCTGAATTTCCATCCCCCCACCCCACCCCAGGACCTACCTAAGGAAACTTCCAGGTCTTTCTTTCTCTGAAAGAGCAACAGGAGCATCTCAGCTGCCCCCTCTTTAGATGAGGAGGATTTATAACCCAGACTCCTCCTTGCTCTGGGAACCTGGTGCCCTGGAGTCCTCTTAGAAGACCTATTTCCTCTCCCCAGGGAAAAGCCTGAGCTAGTGAGCTGTGGAGAATGGAATATCAGGCAAGGCAGCTAGTATAGGAGAAAAGACATTGGCTGTGGAGTCAGAAGACTTAGGCTTGTATGCTGTCTATATTTATGCCACTAGCTGGGGAGGTGGGCTTACAGAAGATACTTCCCCTTTCTGAGCTCATTCCCTTATAAAATGAGGAATCATGCTGATCTTCCTTATGGGGCTGCTGTGATGAAAGTACTTTATCAACTTTAAGCACCGTAGAAATGTGAGTGGTTTTTCTCAGCACAGATAATCTGAGACAAACAAATATCTCCTATATTTCCTCCGACTGGAGGTAATGGCCCCTCTGGGTGGAGATCCTGAGACCCCAAGAGGTTACTGCTGGAGAGGCCACCAGGAAGGAGGAGAGACAGGATAGGGTGAAGTGAGCCACAATTGGAAGAAACATGACATATGGCAACTTCTTATTTTAAATATTCTTTCTTACTCTCTAGGTGGTAAATTCAGTTGTTTCTACAAAAGTACAAGTGCCTTCCAAATTTTGTTGCCCTGGAACAAATTCTGGATTGCCCCCAACCTAGCTGCAGCTCAAGTTAAAAGATCTGGGTTTAAATACCAATTTTGACACTTAATGGCTATGTAATCATTGGCAGGTCACTTACCCTTCTCAATTCAACAATTATTTTAAGGATCTATATATGCCAAATATTATGTCAGGCAGAATCAGTACCCAAAAAGAAAAGTGATTACTGCCCTCAAGGAGTTTATCTTCTACTGGGGTAAAACATACACAATTCAATTGCATTCATATACCACAGCTTCTTCAGCCATTCCCCAAATGATGAGCATCCTCTCAATTTTCAATATTTTGCCACCACATAAAGGACTACTATAAATACTTTTGCATATGTAAGTCCTTTTTCCTTTTTTAATCATCTCTTTGGGATACAGACCTAGTAATGCTATTACTGTATCAAAGGATATGTACAGTCTGGTTGCCCTTTGGGCATACTTCCAAATTGTTCTCCAGATTGCCTGGATCAGTTCACAACTCCACAAACAGTACATTAGTGTCCCATTTTCCCACATCTCCTCTAACATTTATTATTTTCCTTTTCTATTATATTATGCAATCTGATAGGTGTCGGGTGATACCTCAGAGTTGTTTTAATTTGCATTTCTCTAATCAAAAGTGATTTAAAACACTTCTTCATATGACTATAGATAGCTTTGATTTCTTCATCAGAAAACTGCCTGTTTCATTCTTTGACCATTTATCAATTGGGGAATGGCTTGTATTCTTGTAAATTTGACTCAGTTTTCCCTATATATGAGAAATGAGGCCTTTACCATAGACACTTGCTATAAAATTTGTTTTTCATCTTTCTGCTTTCCCTCTGATTTTTGTTTAATTAGTTTTGTTTGTACAAAAGCTTTTTTATCTAACATAATCAAAATGATCTGTTTTACATTTCATAATACTCTTTATCCCTTGTTTGGTCATGAATTCTTCCCATCCCCATGGATCTGACAAATAGACTATTTCTTGCTCTTCTAATTTGCTTATTGTGTCACTCTTTATGTCTAGATCATGCCAAAGGTATGTCATATCTAACTTTTCTAATATTCTATTTACCTCCTTAGTTTCTTTTTTGATTATTTTTTGGTTGGATTTATTAAGTTCTGAGAGGGGACATCTTGAGGTCCCCCACTAGTATAGTTATGCTGTCTATTTCTTCTGTACCACTTGAGGTATATATGTTTAGTATTGATACTGCTTCTGTTAACAGGATTTTTACTAAGCCAGCCTCCAACCTGAGAATGCTTGGAGCTGCACAAAGCAGGCCTAGAGACAGGAGTGCCAGTAATCTAGTAGTTTAATTAATCATTTTCAGAGTAAGGAATGTTCTCTTAGCTGAAGTAAAAGCACAGGTTATATACTTAAAATCACAACTAGGGAAGGAGGGAGGAAGGTGGATTGAATTTCTTCAGCAAGGTCAGTCTGACATTGAAAAGCCTCTATTTTGCTAGTGACCAGAATAAACCTGATCTTTGACAACTCATTAGGCAAAAAGCTTAACCAGTTACAAACTCCACCTTGTATCTGCTAATCTGCCTGGTTTGCGCTCTGTTTTTTTATGATTTTGAGTTCTCAATTCTCTCCTCTCCCCTTCCCTATCATTGAGAAGGCAAGCAATTTGATAAAGATAATACATGTCCAGTTATATAAAACATATTTCCATATTAGTCATGTTGTGAAGAAAGCACAGACAAAAAAAAAAAGAAAAAGTAAAAGTAAAAAAACAAAACAGACATAAGACAGTATGCTTCAATCTGTGTTCAGACTCCATTAGTTCTTACTCAGGAGGTTGATAGCATTTTTCACCATAGGTCCTTCAGAATTTCCTTGAGTCTTGATAGCTAATTCATTAACAATTGTTCATTGCACAATGTTGCTGTTACTGTTCAAGATTCTTCTGCTTCTGCTCACTTCACTTTGCACCAGCTCATGTAAGTCTTCCCAGGTTTTTGTGAAAGTATCTTGTTCTTTTCCAAATGGTTCCAAATTGCTCTCCAGAATGGTTTGACCAATTGGCTAGAGAA